TTGGCTTATATTCAAGATATGGCTATCTCTGAGATATTTCAGCTCTAATGTCCTGTTTAAAAATTAATGAGTGTGAAGGATAAAAATTAAAATTGTTAGTCTTACATACAGGCCATTGTCAATGAGTTGTTTATTAGTTTCCATCTTATTGGTGCCTTGTGCCAGACCAAATGAAACTAAATAAATATAACGCAATATAAATAAAATGCCATGTATACTTGTACATTTTCTCACCATAATGTCTGTAATATTTTGCTATACTCCCTATATTTAAGGATGTGTTCATAGCATAGCAGTTACTAAAGCAGGAGGAGGAAATGACAAGTAATCAAGTTCAAATTATTTCTGCCATGGCCCTTCATATTTACTTTTGCACAAATACCCTTGGAAAAGGCTTGAATCCATTTCTTCCCCGCCAATTTAAGACTTAATAGCAGGGCAGACTGGGCTCACTACCTTTGGTTGGCAACCAGTCTAGGAGAAGGATAATTCAGAATTCAAACCAATTGAACAAACAACTCCATCCCATGAAAACATACAGAAACCACAGCAGCAGCACCTAGAGAGGTTGTGAGGTTCAATATTACACTGGGGAGTCTAGAGGATTAATAACCACATACATCCTTGTTAAAAATAAGGATAATAACTTGTTTGGTGGGTATCAGGTTTTATTACGCAACAACTTTTTATTTATAAATACAACCAAACTATATAAGCTAATGGACAATTGTCTTTAGGAAAAGTGTTCCAGAACTAGCTCCTGTTGTCTTTAAACTTTGCAACATATGCCTTGCTGCTTCTTGCAATACAGATTGTTGGAAATCGACTTTTGTAGTTCTTATCTTTAAGAACTCTGGTGAACCTTCTGATTCCTTAAATTATCAACCTATTAGATTTTTACCTCTTTTTCGCAAAATACAAAACACTCTAATCAACTCTGAATTGGTTATGTCACTTTCAGATAAACAATACAGCTCTTGGTCAACCGACAATGTGTTAACAGGTATTCCTGAATTTGTCTATCAGGCTTTAGATAAGAACACTGAGACTCGGGTTTTGGCTTTTGATAGATCGAAGGCCTTTGACAGGTTTTGGCCTTGCTTGGGGTGAACTGATTAAAAACAAAATAACACAAAATTACATATGCCTGAATACATTCTTATATCATTATTTTACTTCTTAATATGAACTCCTTAACATTCTATCACCTTCATCAATCTTACATCCATTAATTTCTACATTTTGAGTTTAACATTACTTGCAGACAATTTTATTGTTTCCAAGAGATCTTGTTTTCTTTTCTCATATAATTTATTTTAATGAAAGACTATAAATTTTCTTTTCAATTAATTCGTGGAGAGGTTGGGGATGCTTCCATTCATTTAGTAACTTTGAATCAACTTTTCTAAATGTGAAGGAGTGTTGCTTTACATAAATATACTCTTTCTTGCTTTTACCACTAAAAAAAGATTCTTATCCAAAAACTTACAATAATTCTCTTAATTTATCTTAGTACTATCATTAATTTTGAAGGTGACCTCTAATTTTAGAGCCTACAACATTAGCCAAAAATATTACTTCACCTCCCTACTATTATCTTCAAGATATATTATCATAAAAGCTCCAACTTCTAGTTCCAATGTAGCTCTACATTAATCCCTAAATTTACTGTTGAGAAATCAGTTTTCATCAAACTTTCTCTTTGTGATGTTTATTTACTTAAAAGTAATAGTTTGGATGCTATCATATCTTCAGCCAATGTTTTAATATTCTCTGTCTTTTCTCTCTAATTACATTTGCAACACTACCAGTTTCTTCAAATATTTTCCAAGTAATCCAATTTTCTTGTTTATTACCATTTCATTTTTCTTCAATCCCTTTTTGTAACATTCTTAATTGTTTGATTCCAGTTTTATTGTGAAAATATTAATTTACATCATAAAATCTAATGTGGCATAGTTTTTCCTTGGGTACAATGTATCAATTGATTGTTTAAAAAAATTAAAAATTGCAGTATGCTTGAGAAAAAATGGTGAGGAACCTTCAAGTTTTTGAATCACTTCTCATTAAAATAAAAACTCAACACTGAATAAGATCTTCTTTGATTAAGATAATGGGATTTTGACTGTATTTAACAACTTATAAATGCATTCTACCTAAAGAACTATTAATTTGTATATTATCTGATCATTACACAAATATCATCAGGCTGAAATTAAAAAAAAAAATAATTAACATTTACAGTGTCTGCATTTACCTCTCACCAACAAGTTAGCGGCTCTATATAATGGCTATGTGCTTGATCAGGTTCTTGTATCTTGATAATGGTTAAATGTTTAATCAAGATATTTCACCTTCATAATGGCTAAATTGCATCTTGATAATGGCTAAATGTTTAATCAAAGTATTGCATCTTGAGAATGGCTAAATACTCGACCAAGATCTTATAAGTTGGTAATAGTTAAATAAACAGCCACAGATCTTGATACAGAATGTATTAAATAGATAATTTATATCTGTTTAAATGTAAAGAAATAGGGAAATCCCCCAGTTATGGGTAAATAGCAGGACAGACCAGGTTCTATAGCCTCGGATGGCAACTGGTCTACCGCAAAAAGAAATAGCAACCTACTGTGGGAAAAAATCTGCCTCATCAGTCATGTATACTAAGATACATGATTGCCTAAGCATGTATCACGTATAGCACATAACTCTTAACTCTTAAGTTAAAAAATCACTTAAAACATTCCTTGTTTGAGGCATTTAACACTTTCAGTACTGCATTGTTATAGCATTGTTGGCCAGTTATGCTCACCAGTTTTAAGAAAAACAGCAATTTTCCATTTACTGAAAATCAAGGACGATAAAGATGCTGACTGTAATTTCTCATAGATTCCACCATTTTAGTGTTGATCTGATTATATGCCATACATACTAAGCTAAATGAAACACCCAACACACAATACACATCATCACAAAACAAGTCCTATTGTATTGTACTCTATGTCTACACTAGTTTGGAAGTAGTACTTAGCACTAGGTAATTTATAATACAAACAGGACAGATATTTTACAGCGTCTTGAAAAAGTATATATTCATTATAGTATTCATAATAGGAGGCAAAGAAAGTTTCATAATGAAATGTAATGTAAAAAATGTATATATACATTGACAGCAAGCAATGTAAGTTTTCTAAAGATATGTAAGTAGTGGAAATATTTACTAAATTTTTATCAATGAAAGTTTGCTCCCTAAGAACACATTAAAATTCCAATAGATTTATTGAAGTTTTTTTCAGCTTTGAGTTGTTTATTTTGATTGTAACTGCTTTAATGATAAGTTAACATACAAAAACCTTCAAATTCTTGAAACTTTGACCAGTAAAATAAATCTCATGATAATAAATTAATAGGAAATAATATATGCCTGAAATTTTCATGATATAATATCAAATATATGTGATTAATATTCACTATTGCATTAAGTGCACTCACAGTTTTATGAATATTACTTAATGATTATCTAATTACTTAAGAATATTATTTATAAATACTGTGCTCAACATCTTTATACACATTGTTATACAATTTAATCTTAGAGTAGAATAGGAAATTTCTTAAGAATTGATTTTATCTTGTTTTGGATTCTTTATTTTTATGATAAAACCCTCAAGAATCCAACTGCCTGCTGAGAATTAAGACTCTGCTTGCATCCCCAAAAAAATGATTTTTGTAATCTCAAGTATAAAACTAATAAATGTTTTCCTAGAGACACAATTATAAATCCAACTAATATTTATCTACAGACTTATGAATAAAACAAGCCAGTGTTTACCTATATAGTTTAATAAAAAAAAAAATCCTGACCAATATTTACCTATAGTCTGAAGTATATTAAAAAAAAAAAGAATTTTACATTAACCAGCAAAGGCTGATATGTCATTAAATCCACAAAATAAACCCAAAACAAGGAATCCAAATAATGAATATAAAGTTTTTATCAACAGATGTTTTAGCATATATTTGTAGGAGAAATACTAATCTATTCTAAATATATAGGAATACTAATATATAGTACTAAACAATCTATTTTATCAATAAAAGCAAAGATTGCACTTCAGAAAAGTGGTAAGTTCAACTATAAAATTGTTGCTCAATATGCATTTTTGACATTCAGAATCATTCCAAGCAGAGAGATTATATATTTTAACATTTTTTTCAATACTAAATTACTCATTTTATATGTTTATCATGTTCTTTTGCAAATGTGTTAATCACAAATTCTATAACCCATTAGTCATAGATGCACCACATGTACTGCAGCCATTGCAGCAGTGGGTGTGTCTAGAATAAGATAGCCTCACAGAGCCATCTCTCTTCAGACTGATTTTAAATTCAGAGTATTCCTTCTGCAAAACTGATTGCTCTCCAAGGGTTAAAGATCCCATTTAGACCTGCTATTTAACCCATAACTAGGGGAAGATAGATTGATGCCATGCTTTTACCAAGGATATGAGTATGAAGTAAATGAAACAGTGAATTTGAACTCTGCATGCCGATTCCACTTTCTGTACCAATAACCATTATGCTACATGTATACTCGTGAATAATCTAAAAATATTCATGCTATTTTTTGTTTTATTTTGCAGATAAAACGTGGTGATTTCACCCCACATCTTTCTTCTGGATGGATTTTACATTTCTTCCTTGTAAAAGACATGACAACAAACGTGTTGCTTCAGGTGTTTGTACTAGTGTCTGTCTTTCGCAGATGTCCGTGTATGGATCTCACATATCGTGTGGAGGAAGGGAAGAGTCCTGGTACCTATGTAGGTGACATTGCTGCAGACACACATGTCATGGAAAATGTCCTTTTGAAGGATCGCAGACTGATCACTTTCAATCTACTGAGGCAAAGCGGGATAGGCAGTTCGCAGTTATTCTATGTCTCTAAGAAAACTGGAAAACTTTACACAACACAGACTCTGGATGCTGAATTTATGTGCAAGCGTCACAAAGACTGCTTCAAGATGGTGGATGTTGCTATCCGCAAAGGGACGTCACCAATCAAGATCCTTGAGATCAAGGTGATAATACAAGACGTCAATGACCATCGACCAGACTTTGCTGATAAGCAGGTCAACATTCAGTTTTCCGAAGGAGACTTTATGGGTACCAAAATCTCAATCCCTCATGCCATGGATAGAGATGTAAGTATTGTCAATTCCCAGATTACATATCAGCTGAAAAAGAAGACCAATGAGCCATTTAAACTTTCAGTATCTAAAAGTGTTTATGGCATGTCAAAACTCGGAATTACTTTAGAAAAGCGACTGGACAGAGAGGTCCAAGATTCTTACATGATCCAAGTAATTGCAAAAGACGGAGGCACCTCACCAAAGCAAAGTGTCTTGGATGTTCACATTTCTGTAACTGATGTGAATGATAATTTTCCAGCCTTCTCTCAAAATGTTTACAATGTCTCAATCAAGAATGAATGTAGTGACATCTCACCTGTTGTTATTTTATCTGCAACAGACTTGGACTCAGGCGAGAATGGTCGACTCACTTATCATTTCAGCCCGGAGACGTTTGACATTGCTGAGACCCACTTTAAGCTAAATGAGGTGACGGGTGAGATATTCTTGTACAAAAAGTTCCCCTTAGGAAAGAAATCGACGTACGAGTTGTATGTTGAGGCCACGGACGGAGGCAACCCCCCTTTGAGTTCCGTAGCAATGGTTCAAGTTAACTTGATCAACCAGCAGAACAATGCCCCAACAATTGACATGAACTTTGTCTCTGCCTCTACGCGAAATACAGTTGCCATTTCGGAAGACATTGCAGTTGGCAGCTTCATTGCCTACGTGAAGGTCATTGATCATGATGTCGGACAGAATGGCGAAATCAGCTGCTATCTGTACCACGACAAGTTCCAACTGCAGAATCTTGGCCCTAAAAAATACCAAGTGATTGTCAAGAATCCGTTGGACAGAGAGACAGAGGACCATCATGACATTACCATCAGCTGTCAGGACAAGGGGTTCCCACTCCTGCATAGCGAGAGCAAGTTCTACATCCAAGTGATGGATGTCAATGATGTTCAACCGCAATTTCCTAAGGAAACTTATAAGTTTAGGATCTACGAGAACCAACGCCCAAAACTTCCTGTTGGCTTCATCAATGCTACAGACCCTGATATGGGGCCAGGTGGCAAACTCACCTATTCTCTGCTAACCAATAACAAAGAATTCTTACCATTCCAAATCACTGACAATGGTCAGATTTCTACTGTCATGTCATTGGACCACGAGTTTCAGGATATTTACAAATTCCAGGTGTTTGTGAAAGACAATGGAACACCATCTCTGAACAATACGGTGAATGTCATCGTGGAGGTCAGGGACAAGAATGACAATGCTCCATATTTCACATTCCCCAGTGTTAACCCTTTTACTCTTGACTTCCACTACTATCCGCATCACACGAACAATATCACTGTGTTGCGTGCATCAGACAGTGACAGTCGAGAGAACGCCTTTCTGAAGTACGAGATAATTGAAGGAAATAAGAATCGTCTGTTCGCGATCAACCACTACACCGGTCTGCTAACGTTCACCCGTGTGGTCACCCAGTATGATGCTGGCACATACGACCTGCAGTTTGTTGTCAAGGACAGTGGCACCCCAGTTTTATCAGCCATCGCCACGCTTATCTTGAAACTGACTGTGAGTAACAAGACGTATGAGATGCTTAATGCAATCCACATACGAACTCACAACAAGATACACTTAGATTTTATGATTGCCATTGTGCTGGTAGCTATTTCTGCATCTGTGATTATTACAGCCTCAGTGTCAATATGCATCCTTCGTTGCAACAGCCAGAGAAATGTACCACACAGCTGCGTGGACAATACTCCAGCCAACTGTGAGCAGACCCATGTGAAGAGTTCTGCCTATTTGGTGAGCTCTTTACGAAATGTCCCAGTCACAAGGACAGATCTTGATCGAACACGCATAACTTCCCTTACTCTCTCCAGAAGAGCGTCACATTCGGGCATCACGATCCAGACAGCACCTGAAGTTGTTTACCAGGTAAGTTTTGGAGTTGTTTTATTATAGCTAATTCTTTTAGTGAAGCAGGTTTTCTGTTCTGATTTTATATTTTAAATTATAATGAAGTGTGTTGATCATGCCAAATACAACTTGTCACAAATCCCATTTGATGGAGATTTACCAAGCTTAGCATCATTCAGCACAAGACCAAATTGAAGTTCCACAAATCTTCTTACAGCCCTGGACTTGGGTATAAATCTTTGGCACAGGTGGAAAATACATAACTATTTCAACTACTAGGTAGGTAAATTCTATTTGTGTTACCTGGTGTAGGACAAAGGCAGAAAGTGACAGGTAGAAGAATAATTTATTTCAAGTTTATGAGAGTCTATTACCAGTGCATATTGGAAAATTGAGATGTATTTGAAATACTTCAGCCAGTAAAAAGCTAAAGACCCATTCAAGGTAGAGGATTAAAGTCAAAATAGTAATGATGTGTAATGTGAATGGAAGAGAATGTGGTATGAAGTGAAGATTATTTAGGCAAGGAAGAAAAATAGCAACTGGCTCTTGAATAGATTAAGATTGAATTATTCAGGGAAGCAGCTGTGTGAGAGTTCTTGTGGGAAAAGCTGAATGAAAAAGCTGTTTGAGTAGAACTTTCTGCTTACATTTGGAACATGGAGGGAATTATATTAATTTGACTGGAGATGGAATAGCCTAGCTTTAAGAGTCTTAATATAGAGAATATTCAAATTAGTGAAAAGTATTTAATTACTGTAGAATTGCAGTTAAGTGTTAGACCAGTGATTTTGAGCATAGGTGGTTATGTCCCTTTGTGGGTGCTATGAACTGTTCAGGGGAATTGGTGGTAGATGCTATTATTGTACCAATGATGTAATATGACTTTACCCTTTGAACTTTGGCTGGAACAAATAAAAGAAATTTATATACATATTTGTTTTGGTTTTTGCTTGTATATTTACATTGTAGATGTATTTGAAGCATTTAGCTTCAACTGCAATATGTGGATGGAGCAAAAAAACTGCAAGCTAAAGTTTATCAGTTTCTATAGGCTGACCTGATTATCATCAGTTTAATTCTGGAGATTGGTGCTGTTATGTATTAACTCTGCTCCATTTACCAGTGCAATTTTAAAATATAGGGTGCTAGCCTGCATAATTATCTGAGAAGGGTTCTGAAAAAGAAGAGATTAAAAATTACAGTGTTTTGACTAAGCAAAGCTTAGTAAATTCCAGCTAAAAATAGAAATGAGTAATCTCAAAAAGCTATAATCTGAGATCGCACTACAATATTATGTATGGTAGATCACATAAGAATTCAAATGAAAAATGATAGAATAGGGTTAAAATAATAGCAAACAGCTATATGAAATCCATTAGATGAAAATGGTATCACAAATGAATTTGTTAAAAAATTAGTGTAAGTTAACCAAATATATTTATATAGCACAAAAAGGTATGTTACTGGTTTGACTGCAAACAGAGTGTATACTAGTGAATATGTGCAACAAATGCATAAAAGCTGATGTATATTTGTGTTTAGTTACAAATTTGGTTTTGTCATCACAGATGCAAGGCCTCAGGCAGGAAATGACAAAAATACAAGTGCAAAACTTAAGAACAAATAATGTTTCCAACTTGCACAACATTCACACAAAAGTCCAGTTACCAGTTATGAAGTTTTCCTAAGTTCACCTAAGGTCCATCATACCTTCCAATAAGCAGGGCACATACTGTTCAGAAAACTAGACTTATTTCTCCCTCCTTCACTTTGCCACTGGCTGACCATATATTATATCTCATAGTCAAATAAAGATCAACCTTTCTTCCTTAAGTAAATTCCCTAAATGAAAACATCTCTTTTTGTATCTTTTTTTTAAAGCTAATTGGCATCAATTCTGTCCAACTTGTTTTTTTACCTCTATCTATAACAACATATTTCATGTGAAAAAATCACCCTATGTTAGAATCATGAAAGGAAACAATAAGTTTAAAACAGAAACAATTATTTTTTCTCCCTCATTTTATATTTTCACACAGATGGTTTGTTATTGGAATGGGTTACAAGATTTAGGGTTTATAAGAATATAAACTGTCTATCAGTATTGAGAGTTTAGTCAGGGACTGTTCTTTCATCTTGTACAGGCAATAAGAGAAACCCTATATTCAAGCTGTGTGTGAATGGATGCATATGCCAACACTGAGGTAAATGTCTGACAAAAGGAGATTGTGTTCTTTACATAAGAAATCACAAGTGATCTCTTAAAGTGTAAGAGACATAAACCTCATGCCATTTCCTTTCACATGTTTTGGTAAATCATCACACATTCACTTTTACAGCTCCAACCTTACATCTATTACCACATATTAGCCTCTTAAGAGTTAGGTTTAAGAGATAAATTTTGTTTTATAATTTGTCCAAAAATGGTTTTATGATAAAAAATAATTTTTTGTATTATATTTCATTATTTTAAATGCAGTTTCTTATATATTGAATAAAATTATTTCTTTGCACAAATATCACATTTCTGTGATTATAAAATAAAAATCACAATCCAAATCTTTAATTTTAAATAATTTTAAATTCTATTACAGAGTTATCTTCCTTACTTATGAAAAAGGAAGCCACAGCTCAAGGTGCTGCAACTGAGAATAAAAATAAATCTAAATGATTTTTATAAACTGCTTTCCACTGTTAATTTAGCAAATATTTTTTATGTTTCTATTTATTGAGGAAATATTTCTTCTAAAATAGTTTTATATTAGGGGCACCAGATTTTCCCAGTAGAAAGCAGGACAGTGTTGAAATTTTAATTAAAATGTTTTCTAATTTACATATACAGATAAAAATTGAAATAATATTACTACGTTAGACAAAGTTAAATATTAAGAATTCAAATTTGAACAGCGTGTCCTGTAATTCTATTTTGTAAATCTGGTAGTCCTGTCTTTTATCGCCTTCCACTATAACTCAATGGGTCATATATGCATAATGAAACAGTGAATGAAAGCTTTTGAATAAACCCTACCATTGATATCATTGATTACATAAACAACTAGTGTTAAATAAGTGGTAATGCATTTTTGTACTAAAATAATTAGCAAGGAATTTTATGTTTATAATATTTTTTGTGTTACATGTAGAAAGACAGCCTATTCAGATTTAGATTCAATTAATTTATATAAATTAAATTAAAAATTATTATAAATTTATTATATATTAATTTGTATAAAAAGACAAACTGTTTTTCCATTGCTGCTTGCCTTTCAATCATTTTTTCTTGACAAGTAGCCAGCAAGTTTGTCTATCTCTTAATCCTATCTCATATATATATATATATATATATATATATATATATATATAGACACACGTCTCAAATAAATTGGGTGGCTGTAATTTTTTTAGAATTTTCAGTAATGAAATACTTTGTCTGAAAATGCTAATGGCCTAAATTACTGGGTTAGAGGAAATTTCCTGAATATTTAATAAAACTGGTGGTTGGAATAAAGATACCAGAAATGGATTTTCCTCCCTAAAATATAATCATTCAGACTCATCTTAAAACATATATATATATATTACCTTTCACCTTGTATTCATTTTGTGCTTCTCTAGCTTTCCTACCTTCTATCTCTTCTCTTTCACACCCTATTTGCATCCTCCTCTTCTCCTATGTTTTTCTCAATTATTTCCTCTTAATATCATGTAGTTTTTACATTAAAACCACATAACTGAATGCAGTTCAGAAGGAATGAACATCAGTCAGAATATACTTTAATCTTCAGTAGAAACAAGTATAATAATCATGCAATAATAGAATGACTGTGGAGTTCATAAATGAATATAATATAAATAGAATTGTTGCTTAGATAAAATCATTACAGAAATAATAATAATAAAAGCTCTGAGGCTATTAGGTATGGCTCTCATAGCTTCTCACTTTATTTGATTGAAAATGTTAACATGTACATATTTTATCTTGGTGAATTAAGATAAGTTACAATAAATAGCCAATACCATAGATTTGCTTGTCAATTACTTAATCTTGGCATATCCCCAAGAAGCTGAAACACTGTACATCTTTGTGCATAAGTGAGAGTAGTAAGGAAGCATTATGACCAAATGTTGATAGGGTTGGGGTTTTTTAAGTTTGAAGGATGACACATCTGAGATGAGTTGAGAATCACATCTAAATATTTAGAGACATTCTCAGTTAAAGACCATGAGCAATCTTAGTTACCCTACCTGAAAGTATTTCTCACAGGAACACACCTGCAAGGTCATGCACTGTTTTTATTAAAACCACTCACCATATTGCACACATTTGCCTCTGATGCATGTGCCAGGTATAGCCTTATCAGAAAGGTGTCATGGCAGGTAAATTCAGCTTCATATATTTGTACCCCAGGAAATTTTTTTGTCATGCTGCTTTCTCAATTAACAACAATAATAATAGATAGAATGACTGCTTAGTTAATATTATGAATATTAATAACATTATTAAGATAACAGAAGGATTGTTATATATAGGGTGGTGCCTTATAAAATTAAGTACACAAAATCAATAAAGAGAAACAAAAGAACAGATCAATCAAAAGATAATAAAAAAAAAAGACAAAATATTGTTACAATTATTAGAATACTGCACAGAGCTACCTAGGCTCTATGGCTTAACAAAAACACCCAAACCTAACAAACCAACATTTCAATGTGATCTCTGGTATATGCAGCATTTAGCATATTCCAAATTAGCTAAAGAAAGCCCAAGTTAAAAATTGTAATACCTCTTTTAGGAACAATTAATTCTGACAATCTCATTAAAAAAAAAACCTGCAAAGAAAAATATTTCTTTCTTTTTATGTGCCATGTCCTTTCAGAGTTTTATATTTTTATCATAGCAGCTAATATAGATATCCATAGCACTATGGAGGTGCTGGTGGGGGGTGCTTCATCCTCCTCACTTTTTGCTGAAACTGAAAACTAAACAGAAGACTAAATTTGTGTTTTTGGTCACA